CAGCTCGATTGTTTCAGATTTCCGTACCTATATTTATTTGGTGATGCCTGTTAACCTGCTCCCCTCGCGTTAAATTCATAATCTGAGTGGGAAATATTTGCTACTTACTTATCTACAAGTTAACGACTCCACTACTTTGGAAGGTATGGGTAACAGCGTAGACGGTCTGCATTTTTAGAGCTGGCTCGTTGATTCTTTAAAGATTGGCGTTGTGTGACTTAACTTCCAACGATTACGCACTCTACCTTGATTCGGAAAATCCCTAAATAATTTACTTTTAGGTTCAGCCGAGACTGATGCTGCTCCCCGCAAAAGTGCTTCATAGCTTTTTCCTCCCCTTTATTGTTGTCTCTTGGAACAAGTAGACATTTGCACTGTGCTAACTCAACTTTCGAAAAATCTACTTAGTTGGTGGGATATTTGTAAACTCCTCAGCGGGTGGTCAGTGACAAAAAACTTACAAATACTGATCAGTCAGGAGTTCGGCCGCTTCATTGCCAATACTGGTCACTCCATTTGGCCCCGATAGTTGATACACTCCCGTTCCAGCCTGTCAGAGTGTCACAGAATGGTGGGACAGACTTCTCGAGTTAGAAACAAACATGTTTATGAGTCGAACTTGATGTCGCTGCCAGCCGGCTCTCGGAGCTTTCGTGTAGGTGTTTCTTGTCTGTTTAAATGGTCCCTACATATGTTCTCTACCACTCCACTTTTGTTCGCTGAGACGTCGACCTTCTTCAGCTTTACAAATATACTGGAGGCCGATAGCAATGTGGTCACCCCAGACCAAAGGAGGGACAATCAACAAGTTACCAATCAAAAATTCCTTATCCGCGAAAGTGCAGGCTATGAGGGATGAGATATCAGTTTTCCCTGACTGCGCTACTGACATCGTACTCTGCATGAGTCCTAGTTCCCCGATCAGGCCTAAGAATCGGGCCCCGTCAGAATCGTAACTCCGCCAAACATATGATCTCCAGAGTTGGACTTCTGTGGTTAAAAATCTGGAATCTGGGTATGTGTACGCTCAGTAGTTGGTTGTTTAAGATTTATCCTGGTGCGAACTTGACAGACGCAAAGACCAATCACTAATTATTCGGACTTGTTGTATACCCACGAATACGAGACCAAGGAAGAACACGATAGCGTAGTCGGATGGAATAGTATATTTGGATGGTTGTGCCAAGATGCCGACGCGTTCCAGCTAACTGGCTAGAGAGTCGAATACGAGCAGTGTAACGTAACATGACAGCGTGCCGAATGGCGAGGATGCTTGACCGGGTGCCTTCAGCTTGGCGAATCCAGTTAAACCATCGAGGTCAGTACCAGTGTTGAATGTCGTCGAACCCTAGGCCATTGGTTTTGGGGGATTGTGTGACGCTACAGATTACTCCCCCTAGTGGGTTCGTGATGACCCTAAGACGATACCAGCCGGAAGTAAAGACCCAGTGGTTTCCCCACTGGTAAAACTCTTCCGTTGGGCTCACTGCGTGAAGTTGCTCCTGGTTGTCCGAACTTATTCTAGGGTGTCGTGGCAGGCGAAAAGTAAAATACAATAAATTGAATTGTACGTCGGTCGCGGTCCTCGGTTTCCTTTGACATTCCGTCCAGTGCTCGTTGCGCCTGGAATATAAATAAGAGTCTTTAATACCATAAAAACGTGTCGCAAAAATGGGAATTATGTATATATAAATATATCGAAAATAAAGTTGACGCTTATTTTCACTGTTTTTTCCCAAAAAAGTTTGATTACATGGTAATAAAAGTTGATATAAAAAGGAAAAATGTACGGGGAGTTTCACATTGCCGGTAAATAAGAAAAATAGTGCACCGGAAAAGTTTTGAAATAAAAAAGATATGGTTCGCACATCTTATTTCACGCCACTAAGTTGAATACGACTTTAATTGCTCCGAGAGCCTGACGGTTCGATCTGATCGTGTTTTCTGTCGCGCCGATAGTTGTTGTAGCTGTGCATTACCAGGCACATCGTCAAGAATTTCAATAATTAGACTATCCGCCGGTGTTGTTTTGGCGTTAAACCTTCCGTGATCGCCGATTGGACGCCAATCGTCGCTATCCTTTTTGGGAACCTTATGCAGTGGTGATGCCCAAGGAATACTTGGAGGTTTGATTATGTCTAATTCGAGCACGCGGTCAAATGCACTCTTCTCCACTTTGAGCTTATCGGAGGCTAGGCGGTGCGCTTTGGATGCCACAGGTGAACCTGTGGTTGTGACTTGATGCATGACACTGCTGGTTATGCACGGAAGAGTATACTTCGGTAGTTGCAACTCTGAATATTTCTCTAAAACTGCCCGGTAGGATGCGTCGCCCTACTGTTTAGTTCTAACGATGGCTAAACTCGGACCTGCGTAGGTGGTGCCGCCAACAGATAACTTTGTATTGTTATCTATCAGACGTCGACGGCGAGCATCTACTAGTGAATCGCAATGGTCTGGCAAATCTATGCCAATGATGGGCATGGAAAGGCCAGCCAGGAGGAAAATCCAGTGTATAGGTTTACGTAAACCCGAGTTGAGGTGGGCATACCATCCCCGAATGTCGCGATTGCCTTGCCGTTGGCTGCTTGAAGACTGAAGGATGGGTCGTGATGACGCTCCTTTTTCGGTGCGGGAAGAACGCTAACTTCTGCGCCGGTGTCGACGAGGTAGTGAACTTTCGTTTCAATATCCGCGACGTAGAGCAAACGGCTGTTTCCGCCGGCTACGGTTGCCGTGAACACGTGCCGGCGTGGCCATTTCTCGAGTTTGTGTCCTTGTTAAAACTGCGTGGTTTCCGACATTTTTTGGCTTCGTCTCTGTAAGTATTATGAAACCAGCACCATTTAGGGTTTTCCACCCTGTTAGGTTTAGTTTTGGGGCAACCACGCTAGTTGCTGAGATGCGCGAGGATGCATTTCTGTGGAGTGCTACGTTAACTAGGACTTCGAGATCGTAGCAACTGTTTAGCAGAGTTGCACAGCTTGGTCACCCCTGAATCCTGGCTCTCTGGTTTGTCGCAGACAGAATATACGTTGGAGACGGGTCTGCTAGAAACCTCCAATATTTTGTCTACTGAGGCTGCCAGGACATCAAGTGGGATTGACTACAGTGTCACCAACGCGGTTTGCACCGGTCGTGGTAGTTTCGAGAGAAATGGTTCTCCGAAAAGGCCATTGTCGAATGTTCGTGCGCTGATTACTTCTCGCATGCGTGCGAGAACTTCAGTAGCTGAGTGGCTGCCTAGTAGGATGTTACGAAGCAATCCGTCTAGGCGCTGGCGATCTGTCAGATCGCTTTTCTTCAAGGGTGCGGCCTTGAGAAGTACATAAGGATCACTTACTTCAGGATTAAACATGTATGCTGTAACATACCTGTTTAATTCTCGCGGTGGTGACCGTATGACGTCAAGGTATCGAGAATGAGGATCTGAGATGCCCTGTTCTCGGGAATCGGCCTCGGCATACAGAAACCATGTTTCTGCATTGTCTGGCCAATATGGCACGAGTTGGATAGTGTTCGTAGTCGGCTTAATACGAATAAGCTTGGGAGTGTGGTCGGACATGAGGAAGTGCAGTAAATGGACATATAAATGTTATTGAAATGAAAACAATATACAAATATAAAATGGAACAGGCTCATCAATTCAATATTTGTTATTGGTCGGGATATGTGATCACGTCGGGCTCATCAATTTAGGATTTGTCCTGGTGCGAACTTGACAGACGCAAAGACCAATCACTAATTATTCGGACTTGTTGTATACCCACGAATACGAGACCAAGGAAGAACACGATAGCGTAGTCGGATGGAATAGTATATTTGGATGGTTGTGCCAAGATGCCGACGCGTTCCAGCTAACTGGCTAGAGAGTCGAATACGAGCAGTGTAACGTAACATGACAGCGTGCCGAATGGCGAGGATGCTTGACCGGGTGCCTTCAGCTTGGCGAATCCAGTTAAACCATCGAGGTCAGTACCAGTGTTGAATGTCGTCGAACCCTAGGCCATTGGTTTTGTGGAACTGTGACGCTACGGTCGCCATGCTGTACATCAGTGGATGACTGCTTTAAAATGACACCCAATAAGCACTTAACAGCCTTGGACAAGTCTTGGAAGCACCATATGAACTCTTCAAGACTGCTCAACTCTTGAATGTGAGTTTAGTAAGCCTTTAGAGAAGAGATGATGCAAAAGACAACTCCACCCTCGTTGTCAGCTCCCCTACCATTGAGAAACGGCGTTATTTTTGTGGCAGCTATCTCCCCATCTGACATTTCAGGAGAAACTAATCTTCGAGTAGCACCTATAAGATGAGCATGAGTATCCTTACTTAGCCCTCGAAGTTCATTGAGTTTATCAGGAAGGCTTTGTGAACTTGTAAAGATGAATTGTTGGCTACCTACTTCCTGAGACCTTTCCACTGGCCACTTTGCTGTAAGTGAATATACACACTCTCAAGAACTCTTTTAGCTTACTCTCCAAAGAAATCATAAAATCATTCATTGCTCCCCTCCGTGGATTTTTCACTGCATTTTTGAAAGCAGTCTGCATTTATGGGCGAATTCACTGTCATTAAATTCCTCAGATTTAGTTGATTTCCATTGCGAAGTATGACTTAACTGACAAATTCACTGTTATTAGATAACTTAAGAGCATTCTTATCACCCATTTTAAAACCAATATTACTTTCTAGGTTGCTGTCAGATTTTGAATGAGGGTGTTTTAATAGTTGTTTTACTGTACTCCATTCCCATAATTGTAGGTGGTATCGACTTGAGGCCTTTGTAAAATGTCTGAAACCGATCCCATTTATGCTCCCTTTTTCGGTGTTATCGGCGCAGTTTCTGCCGTGGTTTTTTGTTGTAAGCTTGTGTTAGACTATCTGTTTCTATTTTAGGCCTTGGTGCTGCATATGGGACGGCTAAGTCCGGGGCCGGAATATGCTCCATGGGGGTGATGAGACCAGAGTTGATCATAAAGTCTATTATCCCGGTCGTCATGGCTGGTATTATTGCTATTTACGGACTTGTGGTGGCAGTTCTTATTGTTCAGCGTGGTCAGGATCTGAAGAAACTTGATGTGTAAGTTTGGGGATCGGGTTTTGCATATAGACGAATTTAGGTCTCTAAATCAGCTTGGTGCAGGTCTAAGTGTTGGACTTAGTGGTCTTGGAGCAGGCTTCGCAATAGGTGTAGTTGGCGATGCTGGTGTGCGTGGCACTGCTCAACAGTCAAGACTGTTCGTGGGAATGGTCCTTATCCTTATTTTTGCTGAAGTCCTTGGTCTCTATGGATTAATTGTCGCACTTATCTTGTCAACAAAGTAAATTCCTTTACCTCGAATGTTCTACTTACTCTACTGTCGTTCATTAACCGAACATGTCAGAACCATCTACTCTTTTGACCTACTTATCAATATATCACTGATTAAATGTCGTCTGTGAAATTTATTCTGTGACGTGATAATCACTTACACAATGAAAATCACAGTGTAATAACCGTGTACAAAACTTGAGAAAAATCGGCTTTGGCTGGATGTACATGATTTAGAATGGAGTGCTAAGTTAAGTAGGATACATGAATGTCAGCGTGTCACAAAGTAATCGAGATACTCAATGACCACACTGATATCCCTTTATCCATTTACCTAGCCAAGCACTTCATTCCAAACCATGTGCATCCAGCCAAAGCCGATTTCCCCCAAGTTTTTGACTTTGTTAGTACACTATGATTTTCATTTTGTAAATGATTACCACTGCAAACTTGCAAGTGGATTGTGTCAAGTTAACTAGCTCTTCAGTTGGAATGCATATTTTGGTTTGTTTGCTTGATTTAATGATGGATACATGCATAATAATTCCTCTTTGTGGTTATTGTCTTTTGTATGTTATACTTAAGATTATGTTAAATATAGAGTTTTACCAACACATTGATTCGATCTTTATGTGAAGGTCCCGATTCTGGTAAGATTATTTGTACTAGTTCTTATTCTCACATGAAATTTTCCTTTCATTTATTTCATGCTTGTCCAGTCCAAGATAAACTGATACGAAAGAATTTCAGTCAACCTTTTATCTGTTGACCATTAATTGACATCATCAAATCTAGTGTTGATATTCATAACATCTGAGGACTGGTTGCAAGGTATGCTAAGTACGGTTGGAAATCGAAATTGGTTGGATTGAACATCAGAAGTGATCTCAGTTGAAATAGGTTAGGTATGTCCTCAGTTACATAGTGGAGCTGTTCTGTTTTAAACTACATTTTCATCGCAAGGTTTACTGTTTGGTATTTGAAGTCTGTTGAACTATGGTGAGTTTATTTGGGTTTTAAGCTGCCAACTTTCTAATAATGGATGGCCAGTGTAGATCCTTGTACTAAATGCACATAGCTTTGGATTTCTAACATTAGTGCGGAGAAATATTTGGCTTTTTCATGATCAGGTATGCAGCCTATGTTGGGTCAACAAAATGTTGACGTTGCTCCACCAACTGAACTGTTGGTTCTTAAGGATTTCAGAATATGACTAAGTAACCGAAGAAACAAAGCAGCCTAGAAGCACTGTCCGCTCTCAGGAGCGTGGCTAATTTAAATGAGCGTCTTGCATTGTTTTGTCTGAGATCAGTGATATCCATCCATTGAGATGAAAATAGGTTGTCAAGTGTAACTGAATGTGAACCGGCTTAGATGGTGCACCGAGGTCGGTCATTTTTATTGACTATGCGTTTCCTAGTGGAGAGCTAATATTTGGCTGGTCGATGGCGCTCTACAACCCTTCTGAAACTTAGTGATCAGTGAAACTGGCTGTTATTTTCTGGTGGGGCTTTAGACGGTGACAATGTTTAATTCAGGGTATCATAAGGCTTAACAGGCACCTAATCACTTACCAGTGGATGTTAGGCTGTTGTCTTGTTTACTAAGACTCATTTAACAGAATAGTCTACAAACCAGGTGAGTAACTAGCATGTCTCTACCGTTTTTTAAGAAAAGATAAAGAACAGACCCAGCTGTACTGGTTATTTTTGACGTTTTTTAGTTAGTTGGACGGTCTGGTAGATCACCCAAATCTATTGAATTCTTATTTCGGAACCATATATTCATAGTTTATTTAGTCATCCAACTACTGTATTGTGGTCTCAAACTTTTTTCCATCTTCCTAGGTCTTGTCAAGTCAGTACCACTAATCCTCAAACAGTTGTGACCCGTGTCTTAATCTCGGTCTACATTTGGTTGCTGAGCTGCATGCTGAAGCTGTGGCTCATTGGTTTAGGGAAATAACTAGGAGGCCACAAGCGTGAGCTCCAATTCACCTACTGAGGTTTCGGCAGCCAAGTAGTATCATTAGCCTTCACATAGTAGTTGTGGCTCACTGCCCGGATGTGCACAAGGTTGTTGAGCGCATTTTTCCTTTCTGAGATGCATTACTTCAGTTGAACCCGCCCCAACTTTTCATGAGAAACACTTGGTAATGTTTGCATAAACAGTGCTCAGATCAAAACGGATCTGCAGACATAGACTACTGGTCTTGACTATGTAGGTTTTCTGGTTGAAGTATCAGAAATCCGTGGTTAGACTAGCATAATTAGAAACCCACCAGCACTTTCTGTCCTAATATCAGGCGTACATATGTCTACAGTCGATTTCAATGCATGTAAGCTTTTTCGATAACTGTCCGCCTTGCTTGATATTCAGTTCGTTTGAGTAGACTCAAAATTGCTTTTAGCGTGGTAAAGATTTCAGAAACCCGAAGACAGTATTCAGTGCATTCCTTTTGTTCCGTGGTTGCTAGTAGTGAGCTGACTGACAGTTTTCCACTTAAATTATTCGGTCTGATTTGCAGCAATGTTTTTCTAGGTGCAGCACTTTTCTACATCTCTCAAGAGGTTGACCTCCATGATGGCAGTCACGCAAATGATTTTCTCTTGGGGACAGCTTTATAAGCAACTCGAATAATGATATACAGAATGTTATGTTTTGCATCTCATACATTCCCTGAACGAAAGCTGCTACCTTGGCGTGATGGTCAGTCTGGTATAGCACAGTGACTCGTGCTGTGATGGTAGAACACGTCGATGTCTTGACGTATCAACGGTTTGTTGGATAGTGGTAGGACAAAAAGCAGCAGTATGATGCGGTATCAGGCTAGTTTGTATTGGTAGGTAGGTCGAGCTGTGACAACAGTAAGGTCTTCCCCTTGGTTGACTACCAGTACCATGCTGATGCTGACTTCCCTATGAAGAGTGAAGGTTGGGGGAAGTGGGTCCCAAACATACCACCTACCTGTGGTACACCACCGTCGGCGGTACGGGTTTTTAGATGGCCGGCCTTTAACAGCAGTCGTTTTGGCTCTATGGTCACGCACCACGACTACTAACACTTTCCTTTTGGTATCTCAAAAACAAGTAGCCTTGACGGTTTGGTCAGCCGGGGAGTATCGGCCACCCTCACAAGTGTGTCAGCACGCATGTCCCTGTCTCATAGGGGCTAGCATCCGTCTCAGGATTATGTTGAAATCTCGTTCGATAGCATAAAGCGAATTAGGTGTTGACGTTAAATATTTATTCAGCTTTGATGCTTAATACTCTGTTCACATTCATCTCCGAAAATTTATCTTTGCTTCCTACTTCTGGTATCAATATCTCATCCATTTGCTCTTCGGCTTATTAACTTCCTCTTAGTGTACAAACTTTTAGTATAGTAACTTCATCTGGTATTATTTTTCTGCTTGCATAATGCTTTGTTTGATACAGTCACCTTCATGAATTTGCATAATGTAATAAGGTGTATTTTATCTGAAGGATGTGATGTGTCTGGGCGGTGCATATCTCAGTCGCAAGTTCACTGATTAATCTAATTAATCATTATTTCCCGTGTCACTATCTCGTCTCACCGCATGTACTAGCAGTAAAAACTCCAAAGAATACAGATGATAATACTTCAATATCTAGCAACACTGAGTTGTGACTTATCATAACAGTAATTTATGTGGCCAGCCTCGCACTCACTGGGTCAGTACATTGAAGAAGGAAAGCTACTTAGACGTAAATTGGCTGAGTCTTTTCAATGACCGCGAGCACTGCTTTGAGACGAAAGAGGATAGGATTACATCATTTTTGGGTAGTACTCGGTTACCATTAATGGTTATTACGTAAACTGAGGAGAAAATGACGGTGGTCAGTAAGACCATCGCTTGGAAGCACGGGTTCCTGATAACCTCTCAGGACAGAGAACTAGAACGTTATACAGAACGCCTTGAAGCATAGTTCGACTGGCTCACGCAACCTATCCTCATCAACTATCTCCTTTGTTTTCACATCCTGACACTAATATTAGACCTCTTGCATCTTCCCCAACCTCACTCTGCAACCATTGTCAACGATCAGAGCAATCGAAACCTTATTCGTAGTCTCCTAAGACCCCACCGTCGATTTCATGTAGTAGCTTTCAACTTCCGAGCTCTATGCCAAATCGGGCAGCAAGCATCGCTCTCCAGAACTCTGGAATCTCTAGCCATGAATGTATACTGTATTTCTAAGACGTACAGGGCCCAAGTGTGGTTATTAAGTTGACCTCACCTGACCATAGTAGTGAATCTTAAAGATTCGCCTTAAAAATATCCTGAGACTCAGTGGCTAGCTCTCATGGACTCACTGGTGTAGGCGCAGCATTGAGCTGTAGGGTGGTAGATGCGCTTCTCGACTGGATACCAGTAGACAGTCGTCTATGTGTTCGATTGAATGGGTCTGTGAGGACTAGAAAGGATCGTGAGACTAGGTGATGCCTATTGGTAGTCTCCACTTACTCACCCACTGACTGTAGTTCGGTTGATGCAAAGGATGAACTCCATGAAAAGATGTCAACTTTGCTACAGAAAACAAAACGTTCAGATATAGTTATATTGGCAGGTGACTTTAACGCTCCAGTAAGGGAAGCTGAGCCAATAGGTGAGGTATCTTAGGGAAATATTTCAGGAATCTCATGCCGACGAACCGACAACGGTCATCATCATCATCATCATTATCAACATAGGACCAGGCATTACTGCGTAACGGTCCGAGTTGCCACACCTCATATCAGCACATCAAGTAAAAAGGTAGTGAGGTGAAGGATGAAGATAAGTGAATGCAGTCAAAAGAAATATAAAGTATGAGAAGAAAGGAAAGAGGAGTGACAAAATAGTGAGATTCGGTATAGCGTTGTTAAGATGAGGATAATGTGTGTATACATCTGCGCCACTGACTTCGGTTCTGAGCCATATCACCTAGGGTCTCCAACCACTGGTTCCTCTTGTCCCGTGGACCCCAACCACCTAGTCTGCATCGTCCTACATGGCTTAAACCAACAGTCAGAGACTTCATACATTGGTGCCATGTTTTAGTCTGGCCACCTCGGGCCTTTTTCCAGCCTGAACCCACCTCAGCCAACATTGTGTGACGAGGCAATCGGTGACTAGGCATACGTAGTACGTGTCCCAACCATCTCAGTCGATGAAGGTTCACAACCTCGTCGACTGACTTACCTCTTCTCCCTAAAACTCTACACCTAACTTCTGCATTACTCACATGGTGACACCACGGAATACGTCCTATACTACGAAGGCAACGGTGGTCAAATACCTGTAACCTTCTCATGTCTTCCACTTTCAATGGCCATGTTTCACAGCCATACAGTAGAACAGAGCGGACTGCTGTGCAGTACACGCGACCCTTAATAGACAAACGAATATCACGGCGGCGCCATAGGTGGCGCAAATTGGCAAAAGCCAATCGAGCCTTTTGTATCCGTGCAGAAATCTCATCGGCAACTAACC